TTATGTTAAATAGTAGGAGAAAAAATGGATTTATCCAAAGATAACTTTCAAATGAGGGGGTTTTCCCTAATAATCCCAAAATTTAAATATCATTTTATAAAAAATAGTGGACCAAAAATTTATAATTTAAAAATTTTAGGTGAATTGTGTAAATATTTAAAGACCAAAAGGTTGAAAAATGTTAAGATTTCAAAAAAATTTCATTATTGTTATTTGTGAGCAATGTTGTAAGAACCGGACCGGCCCGGCCGGTCGGACCGGTTCGACCGCGACCCGGCGACAAGGCGGTCCGGTTTGAGCTCCAAAACCGGAAAAATAAAAAACCGGGGTCAAATGACCGAAACCCGGTTCAACCGGGCGAAACCCGGAAACCGGCGAACCGGTAGATGACCCCGGTTTTTGTCAAAACAAAGTAAATGGTGGGCGGATCTGTGCGGCGGTGGCTGAATCCGGTGGTCGGAGGCCGGACGTGGACGGATCTCGGCTGTAGACTGTTAGGTGGGCGGATCTGGACGGCCGTGGGCTGAATACGGTGGTCGGAGGCTGTAAATTGAGAAAGAAATGGGAAAAATAGAGAGAAAAATAAAAGAAAAAGAGGTAAGGAAGAAAGAAGGAATTTTGGATTCGAGGAGAAAGAGAGAGGGGGAGAGGAGATAGAGAGAGAGGCTGTCAACGTCAACGTGAAGGAGAAAGAAAAAAGAAGTGGGAAGAGAGAGAATGATGGAGATGAGAGATAAAAAAATGTGAATAAAAAAATAAAATAAAGTAAAATGAAGTGAGGTATATGATATTAATATGGAAAAATGTGGAAAAAGATATATATAAATATAGTATTTTTAAAGTTTAAAATTAATAAAATAATTAAAAAAATAAAAATAAAGAAATAATAAAAAACCCGGGTCGAACCCGGTTGAACCGGTCCAACCGTGACCCAAATGCCTATCCGGTTTTGTGTCCGGTCCGGTTCTGATAACATTGTTTGTGAGGGTGGGTTTCGAACCAGGACCTATTAATAAAAAAAGACATATCTTTACCACTTCAACCAATTGTCTTTTCTATTATTTTATGTATAATAGTAATATTTACTCAAAATGAAGGGTGTGCAACTGCACACCCTAGACCAAGGTTCTAAAAGGCGGTTATCGGGTACGTGGCGGTTAGGGACCGCCACACGATAAATCGGCGCGGCGGTGATTTATCGGAGATAAATCGGAAATATATCGGTTTTAAATTTAGTGTAATATATTTCTAAATATTATTTGTAAATACTCAAAATATATATAAAAGAATATTTAAACATAATTATATCCTATCATTCATATGTTATTATATAATTCTAATTACTCAATAAATAACAAAAATTTAAAAATAATAAGATAATAATATAATAAAAGATTCTTACGAAATACAAATACTACGCAAGTCTTTTGCATCAACAATTAATATAAACACAACAAAGCATAAATTGCGGGGTAGTACTTTGTTTGGTTTTGGAAGTTGAAAGAATTGGAGAAAAATAAAAAAATAAAAACATATTTTCATTTTAATTTAAATTAAAAATAAAAAAAAAAAAAAAAAAAAAAACCGATTTTTTGACCGATATATCGGTTTGACCCGCCAAAAACCGCCGCAAACCGCCTCGCCGCAAAAAACCGATATTCTATCGGCCGCCACGACCGCTATTTAGAACACTGCCCTAGACCATGGCTAGATCCGCCACTGATGGGGATGGGTTTATTTGAAAGAGTGTGTATTTAGTAATGCATGAAAGTATAACCCTAGTATGTAGAATTAATTTTTCACTTGTCTGCAAGGCATAAACTGAACTGAATGAATTTGTAAACTCTCCCAAGTACAATAAGAAAACATTGATAAAAAAAATTGTATAGAACAACATAAATTCCACGAAAAGAACAAATATATACACAATAATATGAAATTCCCTTTTCTTATTTAATTATAAAGAACAAATATATACACAATAATATGAAGGACACAGTGCATGAGCAAGTTGGTAAGAAACAACTGCATCAATAGCTGCATATTCAATTTGATCGCGATCGAGCTTCACAGCGTCCCACTTACTTAGGGTCACGTTCAATGGCTTCTCCATCTTCCTTCCAAGAACTGCAAACGCCATCTTCTTCAATCCCATGTATTTGTATCCTTCGTTTCCATTGCGACTCGTCTGTCTTGCAAGATCGTTCAGGTCCGCGATTTTCAACACGTGCAATTTGTGATGATTGTATAATTTCTCCACGTCATCTTTGATGCCGACCCCACAAAACGTGTGGCGAGGATCGGCTAAGAAGGCGCGGAGGGAAGCCGGAATAAAGTCTCTGTGAAGGAGTTGAAAGATGAGGCACCGGTTGCCGATGCTGAGCTGTAGTATGGCGATAGGGTGGTCTTCGCCTGGGTTTAGATTCGGCAGCCACTCGGTATCAAGACCTATTACGAGATTCTTCTCGAAATCGTTGTGGAATTTGTATATCGAACAAATCCATTCGTGTACTTGTTGCGCCTCCCTTGCTACCGTAACGTGAATGAATTCGTTGTAAAAGGGGACCAATAAAAGGTGTGGCTGAACCTCAATTGTAGACATGGCCATGGCAGATAAAATTACTAGAGAAATTGATGATGAAATTTGGAGAGAAATTATTCAGAACGGAGTATAAAAATTGAAGTTTTAAGTTTGACGAGAAGAGGTGGGTAGTACGTATATATATAAGGATGGGTGAAAAATATTCAGAAGGAATCATAGTTCTAATCTAATTATTAAACAAAAAGAAGTTGAGTTCAAGTATAATTTGGAATAAAAAAAAAAAAAAGAGGAAAATATTTTATTACCAAATAAAAACATTGTTCTCCAAGTAAAATCAAGAGAAGCGATTGTAGAGATGATTGCAAGAAGTGACTATAAATCTTGATGACGACTCTTTTGATTTTATTTTATTGATTTTAGTACTCTTATGTTGCATCGAGTTGCTGAAAACCCCCCAGTGTATTATTAATATTGGCAAAAACACCCTTATAATTCCTTTTTATTTTATTTTTATTTAATAAATTTATATTTTTGCTTGGTTATGTATTCAGGAATGGGATTCTCAGAATGCATCACAGATTGTGACGGAATTTTGTGGTTTTGTGACTATTCTATGTGGTACGTTTCTATTACATAAAACAAAAAAGACATGGGTACTTCACCGACTTTGTCGTCCCCTCCGTACCATCGGTCTAGGGATTCAAGCCCCCGGCAAGTTGAGCCTTGAATTTTATTTTTTTTGAATTCATAGAGAAAAAAGGATTTTTTTTTTCATAGATGATTATTAGAAGAAAGGATTTTTTTTTTATAATTTTTTTGTTATTTTGTTTCAATATTTTAATTTTACGTTTTCTTGTTTATTTAGTTATATGCTTTTTTTTTTCCGGAATTAAACTCTTTTTGTATTTGCTGACATGTGAGTCAAGATTCTCTTGCCATGGTACGTGTTTACAATACTTATGTACTTCTTTGTTCAAGCTACGAAAACACGACTACATATTTTCGAAGAGTCGCACTATGAACGACAGAGAAATATACTGCAGCGACGAATCGCAAAAAATGAAAGATGAAGAACATATTGCAGCGACGACGAATTAAGTATGAGATAAAACATGCTTTTAATTAGCGAATTTCGAAGTTACTTAAAAGAGTAAATTGCATTTACTACCCCTGTGTAAATCGTATCTGCGCGATTCCCCGGGTCATAAAAAATTTAGCAAAAACCCCCCTGCACTAATTAGTCAATGGCGAAAACCCCTCTCAGAGTATATCGTGTGACGCACTTGCGATTTTTTTTTCATTTTTGTATGTGAAATGACATAATTACCCCCAAAAGCCTACACCATCCCTCCCCTCTCCTCTCGCACCAGCAACAAAATCATTGGCTATTAGGCAAAGATGGTGGCGAAGATGAGTTGGGTGGCGGGTGCTGGGCTGTTGAGCAAATATGGCGGCGGAGAAGAGTTGGGCGGTGGTGGTGGAGGTCCTGTGAAGAAGGTTAACTTTTTTTTTTCTTTAATTAAGTTTTGGAAATTGCAAATTTGACCTCTTTAAGTTTTCATAAATTCAATTTGATCCTCGAGTTTTAAAAATTACTCGTTGAAGGACCGGGTCTTTTGTTTTTGCAAAAACCTCTCAGTGTATTTTGTCTTTTCACAACTAGTCAATGGGCAAAAGACAAATGAGTCAAGTATGCAACCTAAATATTAGCGAGGGGGATTCTTGCTAATTTTATTATGATAGGAAGGAATTGCACATATGCGATTTACACAGGGGTAGTAAATACAGTTTACTCTTGCTTAAAAGTTCAAAGCAATGAAACTTCTTGGAAACTTCAAGTTCTTAACGTTTTCGCGTTCAAACTTCAAGTTCTTAACGTTTTCGCGTTCGGAAACGTTTCGTATTGGGAACTCGAAGACATCTGCCGGACACCTTATGGGTCATTTTGCAATTTCTAAAAAGTTAGAAACATGTCTAAATAGCAAATTTTCAAATATTTTTGTTGATTTAATGATCATTTGCAAATTGATAGTTGATAGTAAAATTTATTTGGAATAGGTTTGTATAAAAATATATAAAAAGAATTTATAAATAAATAAAAACTTATATATGTTTATATAGAATATTTATAAATATACCCATTTACTTTTAATATTTACATGTTTCCCCAAGTTCTCATATCCCCATTTTCGGAACATGTTGTTTCCATGTATCTATTGTATCGTTGTTTCTGTGTCCGCTCTACATAGGTTAAATCTCTATAACATGTCACCTAAGATGTAATCAAATAGCATGCACCTATTTTTCCAGCTATTATACGATAGTGTAAGTTTATCCAGTACGCCTATTTCGTTCTGAGTTTCTTCATTACCAAAAAAATAAAAAGTAAATAAACATTGATAGAGAAATTAAATAACCAAAACTAATGAAAGATTTCAACCTTTTCTGTACTGCCCTTTTAGGGAAAAACCAGAGACTCAACGAACATTCTCGCAAACCAATGGCCATTTGATGTAAGAATCTCGAATTTCTTTTCCGCCACTTTAAATATCAATAGATGATGTTTCGGAATACAACTCAAAATGAGATCTCCATCGTCAGTTACTCCAACCAATCTCAAATGCCAAGAAGCCGATATAAGATCATCACACCTTCCCGATAAATTCATCAACTTAGTCCAAGACTCTTTCACTCCATATTCCTTCATCGTCCAAACCTCATAAATTGCAAAATCGCCCCTATAAACATTGCATATTGCAGAAAGGCACCCGTCTATCACCCCAATCACCCCATGCCAAATATGCAGTCCCACCGGCATCGAAATTTCTCCGACACTTTCCAGGCACAAATCATACGTAAACATAACATAGTGATCAGTGTGCATTACTCGATCGTACGAAATCCAATGCACTATTCCATGCAAAAGGATTCCCTCCCCAAAGTACCAAATGAGCTCTAATCGACCGTCGACTTCTCGGATTGATTTCCTGCTGCTGCAGTTGTCTGAAAACGGCTTGATGAGATGCATATGGTACTTAGGACAGTTCGATTTTCCGTCGTACGATCTAATCCCTAAGACAACCTTGTACTCATCATCGGAAGATTCTCGCCCGAACCAGGAGAACAAAAGGGCCGGACAATATCTCCTGTTTACGTTCAAATCCAGAGTTTTTGATACCCTGAGAGATGGATTCGACACGCAAATTCGCATAGTTATCGTATCTAAATAACAGACTAGGCCGTCGCAGGTTCCGACGAAATTTCCGATGGCTTCTTTAGGCCGCGGCAGGGTCTGAAAATCGATGTGGTCCCCCCCTCCGCCTTGGAGATCTCTGCTGTATTCGACGGTCCGAAAAGATTCATCATCACGTGGCATGAAAATCCTATGGCGGGAAGGGGTAGAAATTGATTTCTTGAGATGCAAGTTAATGAAGTGCTGGCCGGAGATTATTGAATTCAAGTTTTTGCATACTGATTTGAATCTAAGAAGATCCTTAACTGAGAGCCCTGACAGAATTTCCTCCCAAATTTCTACAGGTAACTGATGCATTCTTGATTTAATGGCAGAATAGATTTCTCTTAGATCTCTCTCTCTCTCCCCCTCTCTCTCTCTCTCTCCCCCTCGTAATTTGTATATATATATGTTAACGTGATGGATACAAACCCTAATTGACGACTACACAAGGAGTTCTTTCGAGCATGGAACTCTAGAATGGAAAAAAATTTGCAAAAATTACGAATTTTAGAAAATAACCCTAATTACATACTACAATTACAATATATGTTTTTGTGAACGTTTCCTATATATGGCCCAAAATATGAGTTTTATTTGCAAAATCCACCCTTGTATAATCTCGAATTGCTGAAAAAAACCCTTGTATTAAAAAAAGGGTTAATAGCATTTTCCCACCTAAACTTTGTCCGTTTTTGCACTTTCCCACTTCAACTAAAAAAAGTTGCACGGCGGCACCCAAACATTCATTTTTGACGCACATAACCACCTGGAGGGAATATTCTGGCGAATCTTTCCACTCTCCGGCGCACGCACGCTGCACATGCCAAATTACATGGGCTTTTTAGTCTTTTCCTTTAGCATCCTCCTAAATGCCCTAATTCCGCCCTAATTTTCCCTGATTAAACAATAATTAACCATTGAGGTTTCAAAACTGGTCAACTATGAACCACCGTAACAGAGCGACGTCGTATTGACAAAACCTTCCACAGCACACTTGTTCGAACGACGCCGTAGAAACCAACTTTTTATTTCATCCCCACCGCATAAAAAGGAAACCCTTTCTAAAACTTTTTTCAATTCCGACGCTCTCTTTCTCTCTCCTCAATCGCCGGCGGTATTTCGCCGCGAATTCACTCCCGAACGACCACCCCCCTCCGATTACAATCGCCGCAACCTAATTTCATTCTTTTCACCCTATTTTGTTTTTGTAGCTATGTGCACTTGCTTGTATTGAGAGAGTAATCGGATTTTTTTTTTTTTGAAAAGTTATGGAGCAGGATTATTACATGAGTGGTAGCAGCGATGATGAGGGCGATTGCTATTCGTCCGATCAAGAAGCTGAACCGCTCGAAAACGAAGAGCCCGATTCTCCGTGGGCCCCATCAAAATCCCCTTCCTCGAAGGTGTGTGTACCATTCTACCACAGCCTTTTTGTAATTTTGAAGAATGCATGTTGAGCTTTTTTAGTTTTGCCTAATTTGTTGGTTAGTTTTCTCGGGCTAATTTGATGATTTTGTGCGGTGGTTAATGATTTGGAGTTTTGCCTGATTTTGTGGTTTCCTTTTAGATTGAGGAGAGAGAAAGAGAGCGTCGGAATTGAAAAAAGTTTTAGAAAGGGTTTCCTTTTTATGCGGTGGGGATGAAATAAAAAGTTGGTTTCTACGGCGTCGTTCGAACAAGTGTGCTGTGGAAGGTTTTGTCAATACGACGTCGCTCTGTTACGGTGGTTCATAGTTGACCAGTTTTGAAACGTCAATGGTTAATTATTGTTTAATCAGGGAAAATTAGGGCGGAATTAGGGCATTTAGGAGGATGCTAAAGGAAAAGACTAAAAAGTCCATGTAATTTGGCATGTGCAGCGTGCGTGCGCCGGAGAGTGGAAAGATTCGCCAGAATATTCCCTCCAGGTGGTTACGTGCGTCAAAAATGAATGTTTGGGTGCCGCCGTGCAACTTTTTTTAGTTGAGGTGGGAAAGTGCAAAAACGGACAAAGTCTAGGTGGGAAAATGCTATTAACCCTTAAAAAAATAGCAAATACCCCCTATGAAAATTAGTCAAAGGCAATAAGACCCCTGCTAGCCGAATGTGTGTAGCACGCGCGAAATGTGCGAATGGGTGTGTATTTTTGACGCAAAAAGACTGAAATACCCTTTAAATTAGAAATTTGAAAAATTATAAGTTCTCCCCATAATTTTAATCATGCCCAAAATAAAGTTCTCAAAATTTTGAATTCAATCCCCAATATTTCTATAAAGCCATCTTCCCCAAAACCACACCCCAAAACCAGATTTTTCTTCTCCCCCACACAACTACAACCACCAAAAGTTTCCCCCACCATCAAATAATTCATTACAAATCAACAAACAAAAGGGAAACTGAAATTCAATTCAAGCCAAAAATGAAATGCATTTGCAAATCCATTACAGACTGCATATTTGTGTATGTGTGTAAGACCCACCATTAGAGCACGTTGAGAGGAGCTTGAGCAGACATAATAAACTCTTTCAGCCTCCTAACTCCAAATCAATGGCATCTTCCCTCGTCCTCTTCTTCCCTTCGTCATACCCACAATTCAGTTTTTTTTTTTTTCTTTTTTTTTTCCATAATACAAAAGAGGCCAAATAAAATCTAACAACTAGAAAATATGTCTTAAAACTAACAAGAGCCATCTTTCCTTTGTTTTTTGTTCTTTGTTCTTGAGGTGGTCTGTCGTCTTCAACTCCACTGCCGTCCCCAAAGCAAAGATTTTTCAAACTTATCTTTTTTTTTTGCCCCTTTTTTTGTGTTGTAGTTGTGGGGTATTTGGTTAGTTCTACCTAGAGGTGGTTTCGTCATTTCATGTAAGTCAACACCCAATTTTAATTTTAATGCAAGGGGGCAGTGTGCTTTGCAAAATAAAATATAGGGAGGTCTTTGCTAATATTTTTTAATAGAAACGTCTTTTTGGCCATTCGAAATTACACCGGGCTTGTATGCAATTAGCTCCTCAAAATATATTACATAATATAGGAAATATCGAAAAACAATGTCTATTGGATTACTAATTTAAGGGTTATATAGTCCACAGTCCACTTTTTTCAACTTACGGACACCTTTTCACCATAATCTTTTTACTTTTTTTTTTCCTATCAAACTCTCTCAATTTTCACAAAACCCAAAACTCAACATTTAATTCAAATCAACTTTTTTTTTAAGTCAAAGCTGGAGACCGGCGGTCAACAGCGGTTAACCGGCCGGAAAAAAATTCAGAAAAAAAAACTCAAAAAAAAGAAGATAATCAACGCTGGAGAACCGCCCGGTCAACGCCGGAATCTAGCTGGAAAAAAAAATTCTGAAAAAATTTTATTTTTTATAATAATTATGAAATGGGGGTTAATATGATATATTTGTACAAATCCGGGGTCAATGTGTAATATTAAGAAAAATGAGTATAATGAATGAAATTGATAAAAATTATATTATGGAGGGTATTTTGGACAAAAGACATATGTATTAATTTATTTGCAACACTATTTTTTGTCTGAGCCTATGTGCATTTAAGTCTATTGTGCATATTTGTCATTCGCCCATTTATAATTAGGGGTTTTTGTGCATAATTCCCCAACCAAACATCTTTATTATTCTAAGTTTAGGGGTTATATCTCTTTCACCAATAAGCACATCCCCTTAATATTTATTATAAATAAAGGAAACATTCATGTATATGAGAATATTACCCTCAACCATTAATACCTAATTCTTAATTATAACCCCAATTTAATTAATTTTGTCCACAAAAATCCAATTTTGACCCAAAAAAATTCAATTTTAACTTTTTTTTGGAGGATACTATAATGTGCTCCAAATACATCCTTCACTTAATTTGTTCTCAATTTGACCCCAAATTTCACAAATTATTCAATTTTGACCCAAAACTTTATTTTTTCAAAAAAAAAAAAAGTTTGTCAAAAAAAAAAATTTGCCGCCGGATTCCGGCGTTGAATTTTCATAATTTTTTTTCTTTTACTTTTTCTTTCTTTCGGATTTTTTCGCCGGTCTCCGGCGTTGAATTTTTTTTTAATTTCTTTTTTCTTTTCTTTTCTTCTGGATTTTTTCTCCGGTTTCCGGCGTTGACATTTTTAGTGTTTTTTTAAGTTTTTGGTATTTTTCTTTGGTTTTTTTTTACGTCCGCAGCTAAACGTTGACCGTAATTGTGCTGTCACTGATAGTAAACTAATGTACTTATATTGTCAATGACAGTTAATTAACATAATTGTAGTGTCTTGACAATACATTTATGTAATTGTTCTGTCGTTGACAGTAAATTAACGTAATATTATTATTATTATTTTTTTTTTTGTTTGATTTGTTGACAAGTCAACGTAATTATATTACTGTCGTTGATAGTAAAATAACTGTAAACACAATAATATTACTGTCAACAACATCAATATTATTATTTTTTTGGGTTTTTTGTTTTGTTTGAGTTATTCACGGAGTAACATAATAATATTACTGTCTATTATTGTAATATTACTGTAAAAACAATAATATTACTGTCATTGACGGTAATATTACTGTTGTTATAGTACTATTGCTGTCAACCACATCGATATTATTTTTTTTTTTTTAGTTTTTTTGTTTGTTTGAGTTATTCACGGTGTAACGTGATAATATTACTATCTATTATTGTAATATTACTATGGTTGACGGTAATATTACTGTTTTTCTAATAATATTATTGTCACTTACAGTAATATTAGTTCTTTTGTCTTTTTATTATGTTTACATTTGTTGAACGGTCAACATAGTAATATTACTCTATTGCACAATAATAATGAGTTTTTTTGTGTTAATATTACTGTGTTAGAGATTAATATAGCAATATTACTGTGTTAAACTGTAATTTAGTTAATTTTACTGTGTTTAACAGTAATATAGTTAATATTACTGTCAATCACAGCAATATTGTTGTTTAAACGAAAAAAAAAAGTTACATAAAGAAAAAAAATCGAAAAAGTCAACGCGGAATCCGGCGGAAAAAAAAATTCTGAATCTTTTTTTTTTTGGTCAAAATTGAATAATTTGTGAAATTTGGGGTCAAATTGAGGGTAGATTAAGTTAAGGATGAAATTGGAGCATATTAAAGTATGAGGGGTTATTTTAGTCATTTACAAAAATCTGGACCATGTGTGGATTTATTGGTAAAGGAGATTTTTATCTAGATCTCTTTATGAATAAGTATCCATTGATGGGCTTATTTGTAATCACCCATTATAATTATATATTGAGTTAAATTCACTTTGCACCCCTGAAATATAACATATGTAACACTT